CATGATGACAGCACACTCTTCCTCCTGTTCAGTAAATAACACTGCTCTCCCCTTTTGGGTCTCTCTCCCTTACAGGGTGACAGAGAGCCATGGACAAGTCCGGCTTGGGATGGTGAGTGAGTTCTCCCTGCTGTGCTTTGCCCCTCTGCTGCACTCAAACTGAGCAATCTGACATAATTATTGAAATATCCACCAGATGATAACCAGATTTACTCACTGTGAACAGTTTGAACTTAATTTCTCTGCAATTTGAACAACCTTTTTGGTTATCTAATTCTGATATATTTTCTAAATGTATAGATTTCTCTCTTTAGTGGCACTTTTTGATGCCATGAGATTTAATTAAACTAAGTGATTGTTGTTGATATAAGTGGGATTCCCTTTGAGGGAGGTTGGGTTCCGCCTTAAAAATTGGGGGTGGAAATGGGGGAGGGAGCTTGAAGTGGACGGTGTTCCTCCACATTGAAAGGAATCGGTGAGGGGCTTTATCTGGTTTCTCCCTCTGGAGCATTTTCAGGCACGTTGAAGCTAGATCAAGTTATTTGTCTTTTTTTGGTGCTTTGAACAATATATTCATTCATCGGTTAATACGTATTTCTGTATTTACTTCACATTATGGCCGTTTGAGTGTATACTGGTCACCAGAAATTGTGACCATGATAACTGATTATCGGAAAAAATCAAGACCGATGCTCATTTTAAGCGGGTACTTTTGAACAGACTATAGATAACGTACTCTGGAACAGAAAAGTGGCACATGGCACACAACGACTACATATAGATAGAGCAAAAGCCCGAAGTGACCATAACTCCAGATGGTAAGAGGCATGTCCTGTGTTACAGATGCGTCATCTGTACGTGGTGATCGACTGTTCACGCAGTATGGAGGACCAGGACCTGAAGCCTAACCGCCTCACCTCTACTCTGAAAGTAATTTCCTCCCACAGATATCACGTGTTTGACAGCATTTAGCTCTTTATCAGTGAGAGACAGCCTCTCGTTTCTCTCTTTCAGCTCATGGAGCAGTTTGTGGACGAGTATTTTGACCAAAATCCCATCAGCCAGGTATGAACCCAAGCTCTCTTTATTTGAAACAGACCTTTGGAAATGTGTGAAATGGGAAACGTCCGAGCTCATTGGAGAAAATGTAGAAAAAAGGAGTTACCTTTCGCCCGGGTCAGCTGCTGGACGCTCGAGGGTCCGGCTGTATTTTTGCTCCTCCTACAGCTTCACTCTCCTAGACGAAAGTCTCTGATGTCGTTTCTGGGATTAGCTGGTGGGGAAAGGCTTTCCTCCATGAGCAGGACACGAGGAACTGGCTCTCCCCTAGATTTACAAAGTCAGTGTCAGGTGTCAGAATGCCTGGACACACTGACGGTCAATAGCTGCTCAGCCAAGGCATTCATGTGGAGAATGTCTCATTTCACCAGCCGGCAGAGTTTCAAAAAGATGCCACAAAGAGGGAGACCGCAAAGAAAAATCTAGCGAGCTGTCCACGCCTTAAGCACCGCGGACAGACGATGACCAACAGCTCCGGCCGGCCGTCTGAGAAGCTGAGGCCAGGAGAGCTAGCGGGACGGGGGGGCAGCCGTGGGGTCGGGGCACTCACGGGACCCTGCTTTCTGTTTTTAGGTGGGCATCATCACCACGAAGAACAAGAGGGCCGAGAAGCTGACCGACCTGGCAGGTGAGCCTCGCCGCCCGATGCTGACCAGTGGACAGACTCCCGGTGTCAGGACGTAGAATCAGAGGGGCTTTCCCCCTCAGGCTCCGAGTTAAAAGCTTGTATTTGTGTCGTTTGGGTTCTCACCTCTCGTCTTTACTAGCTGTTTAGCTAGTGAAGATCCCAGATGCAGCTTTATGGTTATGGGGGGCT